ATGTCTGCCATCTAGTGGTAGGGAATACAAATGAGATATTACACCATATTAAGAACTACAGTCTTTTTGATTAAGTATGACGACTTTGGCGCTAAGAGGGTTAATAAAGAAATGAAAATAAATAACCACTTTGCCATTAAAAACGAAACTGAACTATTTTAATGGCTACAAGAGCAGCGGTGTAATTGGAGAAGAGAGAACGAAAAAAGGGCGAACTAGGGCATATGTTTGAGGTCCGTGCAGGGTTCTACCGAGTTTGTTTGGTGCCAAACTCAATTTGGTACTCCCAAGGCGGCTTATATGAACGAGCGCGCTTTGGATGCGACTGCGTTTAAAAAGACATGTAAATAAATAATACATTTGTGAGACGATGCAACAATGACGCGATTAGGCAAGTGACAATTCTGTCAACTGTACTGAAACTAGGGCTGGACGATATGGCCTAAATTGATATCACGATATATTTCTTAATTAGAAATCTTTTGTAACATTATAAATGCCTTTATCATCACTTATGATCAATTTTAAGCATCCTTGCTAAATAAACATATTAATTTCTATAATTTCTTTCCCAAAAAAATAATACAAATGAAACTGAATGGAATAGTGTATGATGTTACAAAAGCTTTTTATTTCAGATAAATGCTGGTCTTTGGATCTTTCTATTCATCAAAGAATTCTGAAAAAAATTTACTCAACCTTTTACTGAAAATTAGCTTGTGTTGCAATCTCTCTGATGAGTGCGTGATTTTGACTGAATGGTTTGGTCGGCCCATCTCGGGACCAGGCGTTGCCGACTGGGCCAAATGCTTAACATTTATTAATTATTAACATTATTATTATTATTATAACCATAGAGAAATCGTGCAAGCGATAAAAACCTGTCCTATGCGCTGTTGGCCCGTAAAAACAATTTTATTTTTATATATTTAGAAAACATCTGACCGGCCCACATTAAACAAAATGGTCCGGCCCCTCTGGCATTTGCCAGAATTGCCAGATGGCCAATTCGCCCCTGGCTGTGCTGATATATAGCCATA